GGATGGATGGATGGATGGATGGATGGATGGATGGATGGATGGATGGATGGATGGATGGATGGACGGACGGATGGACGGACAGACAGATGGATGATAGGGAGATGAGAAGTAGGAAGAGAGAGAGAGATGATAGATAGATATACAGAGATGTAGATATTATCTATGTATTATCTATATATTTTCTGTCTGTCTACCTATCTATCAACGTTACCGAGGATTCTCTACACTACCATTCTTTTACCAGCCCCAATTTCTCCTTTTCTAAAGACAGGAGAATAAGGAACTAAAAAAAGGTATGGTCTCCCACTTACCAAAAATTTTCTGATCTGGGGTCTAAAGTTCTTCAATATCAGTAATACAGGCCAAAGAGGGTTTCTGTGCATTTGCATTTCTTTCATTTGCTTCATATCAGGATGAAAATGCTGATCATGAATGTTTTCTGAATATGGAACAGTGTGGAACACGTCCCTGTATTTATCCACCTACATTTCTACCGCCCACACATTCCTCCTTGGGCTATGGGAAAGATAGAATAGGCTAATAACTGAGTTTTTGTCTCCTACAAGTGAACAGAAATGATAGTGTTTTAGTTCTCTGTATTCCTTTTGCCTGGCATGTGAGCTTCTTCGGGTTTTTACTAATCCTGCTAAGAGAACCAGCTCTTTAGGAAGAAATGTGAGGCGGGGGTGGTGGGAATAAATGGGAACATTCTTCTTGGAATAAAAGTGTCTCTGCTGAGCCATCTAGTGGTCAACAGCTTCACTGTTCATATACTATAAAGCAGCTATTAATGCTCGGGAGATTTCCTTACATAACCCAAGAGAAATATGTCATTCAATGCAGACTTTCTCAACCTACAAGATTAGAGGTAAATTATTTTTCTACTAATTGGTATGCATTACTGTATCCCCCAGGTCTTTGTTCAATATTTTATGGTTTTCGAGAAATCATGAATTATTAAATATATCCATCTCTAAAATTACTTACTTTCCAAAAGATTTCCTACTTTAAAAGGTGGCTAATGTGTTAATGAACTGGTACCTAAGAGGATGACTTGTTTGTATGCATCTGTATCTATATCTACTATCTATATCTATGATAGATAGATAGATAGATAGATAGATAGATAGATAGATAGATAGATAGATAGATAGATAGATAGATAGA